CTTAAAGACCATAGACATGGCTGACTTTGAAATGCAGTTGACTGAATTTCAGAGTAGCTCAATTTGGAAGCAGAAATTTATTGACCTTAGAGTTGACTTGGAAAACATTGAAAAGCGATTAGAGACAGGAGTACCAGAGAGAAGTGTCGAAAACGAACTATTGAAGACTTGGAATGCCATTCCAGAAAATTTTTTCTGTTTAAAAAACTTTGCAACAGCGTTACTCTCCATGTTTTCATCCACATACGCTTGTGAATCTTTGTTCTCAGTGATGAATTTTGTTAAGTCTCATAATAGGAGTAGCCTGACGGATGAAAGTAGTAGCTCGTGCATATCTCTGAAGGTCACAAAATATAAACCTGATGTAAAATCTCTGTCATCAGTGATGCAGCAGCAAAAGTCCCACTGATAATATCAAACGGAGTCATAAAGTTTTCTGTCGGACTATCAGTGTACATGTATACATTAAAAAATAAATGTATTTTTCATCATCATATACTGTGTTTTTGTCACTCGAATGAATTTTATCATTTCTTCAAGGTTCTTCACATACGTACACCTTAAGAGATATCAAGTAGGCGTAACACGTTCTCAAAAAATTAGGGTTGGCACACAGAAGAATTTTGAGTCAGAGATTTTGCTGGTTTGGGCATGCACTCACAAAAAGGTTGCCCACCCCTGGTCTAGATCCTCCAGGGCAGACAAGTTCCCTGCCATGCTTGGTCCATCTGTCCTAGAGACAGACATCTGTCCATCTGTCATCAGGCATATTGCTCTCCAGTTCTCTAGGATAGCTGCCTATCTTCTCAGGCAATACGCACTAAATCTCCAACGTGGCCATAAAGCCCTCCCTGACCCTTCAGCCACTGCCAGTCCAGCTCACTTGCTTACATTTTGGCCATAACTGTCTGACTAGCAGCGCTGCAGGTTCCCCAGTCCCACCCTCCCTTCCTACCCCCACCAGTGTTTGGGGCATAGCCCCAGGCATGATCCTTTGCTAATGGAAGAGAGAGCCTAGGGCTTTTCACTGCAAGTGAGTCATCTCTTCTTCCCTTGTTATCTTTTGTTTGTTTGTTTGTTAATCCTCACCCGAGGATATTTCTTCCACTGATTTTTAGAGAAAGTGAAAGGGAGGGGGAGAGACAGAGAGAAACACCAGAGACACATTGATTGGTTGCCTCCCACATGCACCCTTGATCGGAACTGAACCCGGGACCCTTCAGTCTACTAGCCTACGCTCTATCCACTGAGCCAAACCCGCTAGGGCTCTATTCCCTTTTATCCCCAGAGCCTCTTCTCCCACTTTCTCTTTTTATTTACCTCAAGAGTCGACCTAAGTGGTACTTCTAAGAGCCTCAAAGTCTTCTCTATGTAGATCTTAATTATATTATAGATTGTTACACAGGCATTCCCCATTAAAAATAAACTTCTGGGTGCTGAAAAAGAGCAGAGCAATATACAAAACCCATTCGAATGGACACTATGAATTTATGAAATTCATTACTCTAGTTTTAAGGCCAATTTTTTTACTATGTCCTGTGCATTGCAACATAGGGTATTCTTTAAATTCCTATTTACCATAAGTAACTATGGGATATTTACTAGTACATTAAGTAACTATGGGTTATGCAGGGCTGCTCCTACTCATATAGAGAGAAGACAAGGAAATATGAATTTGAGTTTATCACCAACTTCCCTAGAAACTTAAAGTTGGGCCTTGGGTGGTTGCCATTCCAGAGTGGAAAGCCTGCCTGAGCTTTTCCTCAGAGAAATCCTTAAGTTCTGTCTCAGTCCCCGTGAGAAGTGAGCTGGGAATGGATTCGTGTGTTCCCACCTGCACGCACTCAGGCCTCCAGAGCTGTGTGCTCTGATGAAAGGTTACCGGGAGGAAAGGCCTTATTCTCACGCCTTCCCACAACTGAAAGGAACATCAGACAACCAGACATTGAACGTGCAAAGAGTATGCATGTTCACAGATCACCTCTGTTTCATCTGAGTTCACCGGAAAAAATTTCAGGAGGTAAAAAATCATTTTTCCATGTGATACACACCTGATCAAAAAAATTACTTACAAGCATTCCCTCTCTAATTGTGTAATTTGTTTTCTCCTAAAACATGTATTACAAACACTATCACAAATGACAAAATTCAGGAGTAAAAGTAAGAAAAAAAACAACTTTTTTTTTTGGTTTTAATAAAAGCCCTGGAAAACTTTAAACTATCAATACCAACTGCTCGTTCATTTTGTAGTGATACAGGCCATTGTTTGAAATTCTCTAGCTTTTCACATTTTTCTCCCCTTTGGAAAGGGTGGGGGGAGGGAGAAAAGACAGATAAGGTCTACATAATTTTAGCAAGACAGTTTTTCCAGGCAAGGTCTGACTTATGAGATAAGATCAGAAAACTGTACTTTATTTTTCTGCTAGGAAAAATGTTATTTCAAAAATATGAATGTCATGCAAGATATCTTCTATGGCTTTCAATCTAATCTTTCAGTATAGATTTATAGTTCTGCTACATTGATGTATCGCCTGTATGGGACAGAATTCAGTGAACTCTGAATATGCCATTCCCTTTCTTTAAAGTATGCATTCATGACCGCTTGCCTTTAGAAAGCCATTCCTTTCTGTGGAAAGCTAACCAACACACCCAATTTTTTATTCCTATCTTGTGAAACACCCGTATGAAACAGAACAAGTTATGGAACCAGCTCAAAAAAAGATCACAACTTATCACCATCAATAACATTCCATTTGCCTGCCTCCTCTCACCCTAGCACATTCCTGGGACCTGGGAGGGAAACACCACCCAGCAAGTGTGTTCCTCACTGAATAGACCCCAGATGACCAAGTGGAGGCTGCAAGAACTGATGAAGGAAGAAGAGGAAAACTTTATTCAAACAGGAGGTAAGCAGCATGAAAAATAAAAGGTAAGTCAAATGGGGGTATTTTTAAGGTGAGCATAAGCATTTTGCATAAGACTGTGTCTATCTGAGGTTCAGATCTTTCTTAGACTAAAACAAAAGTCACCAATAAATATCCTTGTGTACCTCTAAATCATGACCTCCAAAGTCTCTCCTCTGTTTAACAGCTTCTGAGCCTTATAACCATATAGAATCAATACTAACCAATGCGGTGAGTTTCCGTAACTCTCTGAGACAGGCCAGTAAGCCAGAACAAGTGGAATAGAGAAATTGAGGCAGATAGTTAACAGTGGTTGAGTTGAGCGCTGACCCATGAACCAGGAGGTCACGGTTCGATTCCCTTTCAGGGCCATGCCTGGGTTTTGGGCTTAGTCCCTGTAGGAGGCATGCAGGAGGCAGCCAATCAATGATTCTCTCTCATCATTGACGTTTCCATCTCTCTCTTCCTCTCTGAAATCAACAATTTTTTTTTTAAAGAAAGAAACAACAGTTTGGAGCCACCTAGTAAATCCTTTCTTTCCTAACCCAGGGACACTTGGGAGTAAATGGTTTGCCCTTCTCCCCAACTAGAGGGTAAATAGTTTAAATCGCCGTACTCAGGGAGACAGCAGAAATCCAGTTAGTGCCATTTGCCAACCACACCCAAGATGAAGTTAAGAGAATAAACCTTATTCTGGTACATCAGCATAAAGCTGATGAATATTCTATTGAGATCCTCCCCTAAAACTTCCCCTAAATGCCCAGCCTTTAAAACCCCTCAAAGTGAAGGTTGTTGGCCTAATAACAATGCTACATCTAATAAACATGTCTTTGTGCTCATGTACCTATGGCTTCAGCTAGGGTAAAAATCTGGAAATTACTCATTTGAAGGATATGCATACTTAAAATTACAACGGGCACTGCCAAACTCTTTCTCCCAGGAGCACACCCCAGTCTCTTCCCTCCCCTCCCATCTTTCCCCACAGGCATGCATTTCCTAAATGCTTAGGGACCCCACAGGCTTACAACCAGGGCAGCAGCAGGCAGTGGCAGTTCACCCCAGGCAAACCTCCTGAACCTGCCCCAAAGCCCCCTTTTCTCTGACTTCTTACTGAGCCAAAGCAGCCCAGCGTAGACTCATTTCCCCAGGCCTTCCTTGTTTCACTGTCCCCAGCTTTAATACCCATCTTCTAAAATTCACCTGGATTTGTGCTATGAAATTTCTCCTGCACAAAGTCAAGAACCCACACACTACCGGCCGGCCCTAGGCAGACCCACTCAGGGCCAGGTCCCCTTTCTGGTAATATAACCATCATCCAACAGCCAGGAAGACGTTCTGAATTAAATCCTTGTGAACAATTGGCATCAGACACCAAAAGCTTGGTTACTTTTATTACTCGTAATCCATCAAGCTCATGAATGAACACCCTTACTTACTTTATAATTGCTCGTCCAACTCCTGAAACTTAGTCACCTTTTTACACTGTATATATTTCTTCTCTTTAACCATTCGCTTTCTTAAAAGGCAATAATATTTGTCACTTCAATAGACCAGCCAGTTGCCTCCTAACACATTCACTGGTTTATTTAGTCCTTAACAGCACAAATGAAAAGTACTTTTTTTAAAAAAATATATATTTTTATTCATTTCAGAGAGGAAGGGAGGAGAGAGAGAAACATCAATGATGAGAGAATCATTGATCGGCTGCCTCCTGCACACCCCCTACTGGGGACCGAGCCTGCAACCTGGGCATGTGCCCTTGACGGGAATCGAACCAGGGACCCTTCAGTCCTCAGGCTGATGCTCTATCCACTGAACCAAACCAGCTAGGGCTGAAAAGTACTCTTGATATGGTTGCAAAAGTGGAAACCAGGTAAGCATCTGTAAAGAGGAGGGCTATCATATGAGTTGTGAATCCTGCAACTCTACAGACTTTTAGGGAGAAATGCAAAGAAATTAGCCAGGGAAAACATGTTTAAGGTTTTCAAAGTCATTTTCATTTACAAGGAACCTAACTACCTAAAACCACACAGGAAAGGCCAGAGATAGAGTGAAAGTTATAACCAGAAACATTTAATACGAAGTCATTGTACTCACTGTCTGATGGCTTCTGTCACAGTAACGCAGCCCAAAATAATCAATCTCCACGAGGTTTATGTGACGGAATACGTGGTCAAGGACAACGGAACCTCTTGTTGACTTCTGCAAAAATAATTCACAGTTTTATTTTTATATTTAACAAGGTGTTTTGTTATTCTCAGTGGGATACAGTCAGTCCTCATCTTTTATTAGCTTCGCTCACAGCAGGAACAATTTTATTAACCCACAGTTCCCTCTATAAGTTTTGCCTTAGTTACAAAGGAAAAAAAAAGGAGTTTTTAAGTAATGTGTATGACAGAAATTGCCTTGGAAAACAATCTTAAAATTGTAGTGGGTTTTAAATTAATATAAACATATTTTCTTATGGTATTGTAAATTATCTTCAGGACAAAATTCTTTTAATAAAGAATCATTTATATAAAGAGCATCTAATAAATTCATTAAAAAACACACTTATTTTGGTTAAAATCCCACAACTCTTTCACTTTAAAAAGCAATTTTCACCTACACTGTTACTCTCACAACCAATACAGAAGATATATACTAGTAAAATTTAAATAACAATAGCCAAAGCTTTTATTTTCACCCCTCAATTAATAAAGCCATAAAGACATCAAAGTTAATGTTCTGAAAGGCCCTAGTGAAAATATCTTACAGTATCTCTTTCATAAAAGCAAAAACAAAGGAAACATTCCCCTTGGCTGCTTTGTAAATGCTGACACCTACCTAAAAATCTAATCTCTCTTCTCCCTCTCCCACTACATACGTACACAGATTCTTTAAGATTCTTATCATCTGATTTAACAGCGGTCATCAACCTTTTTGACCTCATGGACCACCAGTGGTCCGAGGACCACCGGTTGGCGACCGCTGAATAGATTAAATACCAATTATTCACACATAAGAGATAAACATTTAATCAGCAAGCACTATTCCACATCCCACATTAATCTTGACAATAATCCATTTCGATGGTACACATACAGATATAGATGGTTCCTTTCTTTTGCCCCATCACTGGCAGATATAACAGGATAGTAAAAAGAAAGAAAGAAAAAAGCCCCAAGAAGTCACATATTGTGTTAATGAAGTAGGGCTCTGTTCAGTTGCATTTTCCCTCAGAGACTTCAGGTTGCATGCTCACTCCCGTAGGGTGAGCACTCAATATTGCACTGCTTTTAGAAAATGAATTTCTAACATAAGGGAAATGTTTTGATTAAATGTATAATAAAATAGGTGATAAAAGCACACACTGGGAGAAAATGATTCTTATGTCAAATCCCATAGGTATTTTGTTTTCCTCTTACTTATGTTGGATAAACTTAACTGGTCCCTTTTCAAAACCCATTAGATTTATAAACAAAAAGCACTTCCATGATGGATCTTTAGGTTGTTGGCATAATAATAATGCTACAGCTAATAAACATGTCTTTGTGCTCATGTACCTATGCCTTCAGCTAGGGTAAAAATCTGGAAATTACTCATTTGAAGGATATGCATACTTAAAATTACAATGGGCACTGCCAAAAAGACCATTACAATTCATTCAATGAGAGTGTGTTTTCCCACACCCTTGCCAACATTTGGATTGAACAAAATTTTTCCAATTTGATTGAGCAAAAAGGGAGAGAGGGTAATTGCTCTATCATATATGTGCTTACTAATCAATTGCATTTCCTAGCATTTGGGTTAGGCATTCTCTAACCCAAATTTAATGAGCAAATTCTACTAAGTGCTTCTAATACAATTTTACTTAGTATATTTAGCTCTTCACTCTGTCTGGAAGTTATTTTTGTACTTGTGATAAGGGCCTAAATTTGTCTCAAAATGGATAGACAACTGCACCATCTTTCACCAGGAAGGCCATCATTTCTTTGGATTTGAAACAACTTTATCATCTACTAAATGAACCCTCATTCAATTCCATGAATTATTCCTGGACCAATCCTCTACGATTGTAATGAGTTTAGTTTAATTTGTTGATTCTTTTTTCAAAATTATCTTTGCCAATTCTTAGGCATTTTTCTCTACTAGAGGAAGTTTAGAACCAGCTTGCCAATTTAATGAACAATTCTGTTGGGAATCTGATGAATAAAATTTAATTGACAGAATTGGGGGGAGGGGATGATATCTTATATGGTTTTCTTTTATATCCTTCAAGGAAGGTTTATGCTTTTTTTTCATGTAGGTCTTATAAAATTCTACTTGGACTCTGTGGCAGGCAGAATTTATAAAGTGGCCCCCACCAATTCCTGAGCCAGTTTCCCAGCATTTTTGAAGCAGTAAACAGAAATAGGCAGGCAATCCACCAGCCTCCTTTCCCTTGCCCTGTGAGAGCAGTGACTTTATAGGTTTGGGCCCAAGAACCAAGCTAGGGTCCCAAGTAAAAATCCTGAGTAAGAGTATAGGAAATTTAAAAGGTATACTATAAATATCATCATGAATACAGTTTACCATAGCAATGTGAGTGCATCAAGCAGAATTCTTGGTTGCAAACAATAAAAGTTGACTCTGAATTTACTGGAAAGACACTGGGCATCTTGCAGTTCTATAAGATCACCTGGATGGTTGCTTGGGTCTCCGCCTAATCCCAGTATATCCACAGCCACTAAATTTGGAGCAATCTTTAATCCATCACTTCTTCCTTCCATTGTTCTGCCCATGTTTTGGAGTATGGTTTTCAACTTCAGTTGTTTCACATTTGCTCTTTGCCTCAAAAAATGTTTTAATAGTTTTTGGCCGGCTGAGATCAGCCTTTCTTATTTTCCAGGCTCTGCTGTGGAAAATGCACACATATCTTTCCTGTTACTTCAAAATATTTCTGGAAGGCTGGCGTATGAGGCTAGTGTTCCATCTTGATCTAATCTCCTTGGGTTCTTTCTCCAGGTCAGGCACAGACAGGGACAGACAGAGTAACTAGAATAGGTAGAGCCACTCTGACCTACTTCTCCTATCCCAAGTGGGTAAAGGAATGCTTCATAAACAAAAGGAGAATGAATTATCCTTTAACATATAATAGGGACAGATTTAAAAATTATATATATATATATACACACACACATATATTTAAATCTGTCCCATTTCAGTGCTATAATTATATATAAAAATGTTATATGTATTTTGTATTATATATAAGTTATATGTTATATTATAATTTACATATAAATTTATAAATCAACTTATATAAATCAATTTATATATATATATATATATATATATATACACATACATACATACACACACACACACACACACACACACACCAAGGTTGTCTTTATGAAAAATATTTTATGCTTCTATTTCCACAAAAAATGTTAGCTTTTTCATACATACAGTCTATTTGTAAAGTATAAAAAAGATATAATACTCTACTCATGAAGAACATACAGAAAAGCAAGCTTGAAAAACCAGTTTAGTAGTTTGGAAAGTATATAGAAATTGCAAAAATGTCATGCATAGGAGAAATCACCATTTTCCAAATTATCATTCCAAAAATACCAGAACATAGTCTGTTGATACTCTGCAACAGTTTTGCATTTATATAGAATCTGGGGCTGAAAATTCTTTACAAATATCACCCTTCAACATATTTGTTATCCTGTACAGAGAAACCACAAGGAAAGCATGCAGTGTTATGCAATGACTCCAGAGCTGACCTATGAGAAAACATGGTGTCTCATGATGCCCTGTACAGCTGTCTATATTACCGGTAATATAAAGAACATCTATGGTGGAAGCATTGATTGGCCCATCAGAACCCTAAAGGAACCCTGGAGCCAGAGTGACTACAACTTCTAAGAAACTTCTAGAAAGTGAGACAGGGAAGGAGTTAGTTTTCATCAGAAGCTTTTTTTGTACATCTGACTAGTTAGCAAGCACGTTTTATTTGCGTAAAAATATTTTTAAAAAGCGAAAGTATGCCAAGTGGAAACTAGTCATTGTTGCCAGCCTGCCCTAACTGACCCCTATTGGAATTCCCTGTTTGAATTTCATTATCATGCTTTCTGCTGCTACAGAACAATGAACAATTTCATTCTTCATGTGAATTCCTCATAGAAACTACCTCTGGGCTATCTTTGGCAGTTCGAGTTGAAAGTCTTCAGGTTAAAAAGAAATCATAATTGAATAAAAAAATTAAGAACCAATAGAGAACTGACATAAGGGCCAAAGAACAGACTAGAAATATCCTGGGTAAGTTTTGGGATTTATTACTAGAAAAGAACAAGTAAGTACCATCAAGGATATTATAAAAGAAGACTTCATTCGCTCAAATATTTATTGATTACCTGTTAATGCCAGCAAATGATTAACCTCTAGAAGATGAAAGAAGTATACTAATAAAAAGGCGAGAGGAGAGCACAGTGCTCCCAGAAGGTAATATAAAGAACATCTATGGTGGAAGCATTGATTGGCCCATCAGAACCCTAAAGGATCCCTGGGGCCAGAGTGACTACAACTTCTAAGAAACTTCTAGAAAGTGAGACAGGGAAGGAGTTAGTTTTCATCAGAAGCTTTTTTTGTACATCTGACTAGTTAGCAAGCACGTTTTATTTGCGTAAAAATATTTTTAAAAAGCGAAAGTATGCCAAGTGGAAACTAGTCATTACCTTTTTTGGCTCATGGAGGTAGTTGTTTTGTGGATCAGGTTCATGCACTAAGAGGTTTGTTAAGTAAGTGAAATTTGCACAGAGACTAAATGGGATTATGGTGTTGAGCCGTCAATTTGTTGACTGTGTTTACATAGAAACAATTCACACTCCCCATTACCCCCCCCAAAAAAGTTATTCTAAGATTTTTTAGTCTAAATTCTTCCTGAGCCCTTTGAGCAGCAAACCTCACTATTACATACAGACCATCAAATACCATGTGGAGGCTACGAGCCCCATCCCTTAAATGCTGAGGCCCAGGCTTCATTTCAAAGTCAGATGGCTACTGTCATTTCAAGTTTAAGGAAAACTTGTCTCTTAACTTTACTTCTTTCAGTGCTTGGCAAAAGGAAGACATGAATATGATTGTATTTAGTACTATTCCAGGTCTTTCTGACCATTTCTAAGAGAAATTCTACCCAAATGAGGAATTTCTAAGATGCTACAAGATAAAAC